GGACCCCACCTCCTTTACCCTAGCAAAAAGTATACTGTATAAACTTTTATTCACAGCATCTGTTCTAATTGTGTTAGAGAGATAAATTTGATACCATAATGATTCCGATTAATTTCTCTATTAGCTGTCCTTAAAAAAAAATTCTTGAACATGATATAATGATGGGAACTCCATTCTTTTAAAATTGGTTCTAATTAAGTTAGACACATAGTACAGTGACCCCTCGTTTAACGAACACCTCGGTTAACGTAATTTCGATTAACGAACTGCCTTCCATAAGGATCTTCAATTCGGTTAACGAAGTTCTTACGAACCGACCTCAACATGTTTTCGCTTGTACTGACCGGGCAACCAGCTTTAGTATCAGTCTGCCAATACAGTAATCGGTTCTAGGGCTTCAATTCCTTACTATTTTAGTAAATATCAAGAAGTTTATACTATTCAATAATTTTAAAAGTTTAATATTCAATTTTTTAGTCATTTTAACAATTATTGAACATAATTGAAGGTAAAGTGACTAGTTTAATGCGCGGCATCCAGCCTCTTAACACAGCAAACAGGAGTTAGTCTCTCTCTGTTTTCACTGGAGGTAACATCTTGCTTGAGACTCTCTTCAACTAAACGCTTTTTTTCTGTTTCCAAGCAAATTATTGGTCATTTTGAAATATATTTTACATATTGACAATATATAATGCAGTGCAGTGTTGATTTAAAGAAAATAATCTTGAATTACACCAGAGCTAAAATTTTATGGGTGAAATGGCGCCATGGGGTGACTTCTCTTCCACCCCAATACCTTCTCTTCTTCCTTCTCCTCCACCCCCATCATCATCATCATCATCATCATCCAGGAGCCTTCTACATACACACTTCAAAGTAAGTGAACTTTTCTACCATTTTTGTTAAATTTAGGAAATTTTCGGTGAGCTGGAACCAATTACCCAAAAACCCATTGAAACAATGGTTTCGGTTAACGAACTTTTCAGTTAACGAACGACCTTCTGGAACGGATTGAGTTCGTTAACGGGGGGGTCACTGTATACATTTTCTTTTTTGTACAGTACCAAAATAATCCTGAATAGTTTATCTATAAGTTTGATTAAACAAATACATTTTAAAAAGGTAATATCTATATGATATGGGCATGAATGGGGCTGTGTGTTACAGCAAACACAGAGAAAATTTTCCCGAGTCTAAACAATGCATCTCGCACTGAGCCGTATTTATTTACACAAACACCACTGTACACATACAATGTATTGTTAATACTGTAAACATAATAATGTATACTACAGTACTACTATACTGTATATACTGTACTCACCAGCAGATGCTGTTTTCTTGAGCCTAGAGTAGGCAGACACTGTCTACTCAGCTGAATGTAATATATAAGTGTAATCACATCTTAACACTTGTGATGGAGGTTGGGTGGGGGATTAGTGGGTCATGTTACTGACCTGACGTGATGCAATGTCAGGTCACCCATTGTCGGGGTGGATGATTCGGTTTCATGACCTGAAGATGTCTTGAATAAACATGACAGGTAAGGTGCTACTGTGTTTCCCACTTATTGAATGTACAGTATAAGTAACTGTAATCACATTTTACATTCATAACACTGCTTTAACACTATTCTTGACTGATTTTGTTCTGATACAGTACTGTAATGCACAACACAAACTGTACACAAAAGCAGCAGCTAGCGGGGGAACAACCTTCTACAATGACAGCAGATTATGAACTAAGTGATCCAAGCAGCTGGGCCACCGACACACCTAACCCATGGGGATGGGTTGGAGGGTGATGCAATCTTTTGGAATGCCCTGAAAATTCATTCCCAAGCTCAGAACAGAGAGATTTTCTCGGAACTCTCTAGGAAATTAAAAAAAAATGTGCCCGATTTTCAATCTCGGAAATTTATTCACAGACCTGGAATTAAGAGAATTTTTCCAGAAACATTCTGAGCCAATTTCAATTCAGAATATTGGAGGGTTCCGGCTCATGGGGATTCCGGGTAACGGAATCTTCAAAAATTACATACAAAGGTAAAAAAAAATGCAGTAAAGTACACTTACTTTGAGGTGTGTATGTAGAAGGCTCCTGGTTGATGATGATGATGATTATGGGAATTAGAAGTGGGGGTGGAGGAGAAGGGAGAAGAGAAGGCAGTGGGGGTGGAAGAAAAGTCACCCCCATGCTTGATGCCGTCATTTCACCCATAAAATTTTAAGTTCACAAGGTGTAATTCAAGATTATTTTCTTTAAATCAACACTGCACTGCACTATATAGTGTCAATATGTTAAATAATTTTCAGAATGACCAATAATTCTGGGCTGCATTTGAAAAAAAAATTCATGAGGTGCGGGGTTTCTTAGCTGATTCTTTATGTATTTTGCGTGCTGATTCCAAAAATGTCATTCATTTTGCCCAATCAGGTCAGATTTTTATGCTATGGGAATTAGGAAAAAATCGAAATTCTTAAATATGATGTCAAAATTTTTATGCAAAATATATCATAAGAAATGTAACCACAACACATAGGACCAAAATATGTCAACTACATAGATGCCTTTACAGTTAGACATGCATAAATGGCTGTCGCAGAGAATTTCTTTGGTGGTTGGTGTCTGGGGCGTCCCGTTTCAGACACCAACAGTAGTCGGCGAGCATGTTGATATCCCAGCGACCCTGGTACCGCTCCTCCATTACACGGATATCTTGATGGAAGCGTTCTCCTTGTTCCTCACTCACATCACCACAGTTCTCTGGAAAGTAGTCCAAGTGGGAGCTGAGGAAGTGCATCTTGATGGACATGCATGCACCAAGAACTTTGTAGCTCAGAAGTAGGTCCTCAACAACTCGTTCATACTCTGGACTTCTATAGTTGCCAAGAAAATTGGAGACAATAGACTTAAAGGCATGCCAGGCTTTCTTCTCATTTACATCCATGCTGCAATCAAAGTTGGGATCTTTGAAAAGTTCTCTGATCTGAGGGCCATCAAAAATTCCTGCATTCAGCTTTGCCTCACTGACTTTTGGAAATTTTTCTTTCAGAAAATTGAAAGCCTGGCTTTTTTTGTCCAGTGCCTTTACAAAGTATTTGAACAGACCGAGCTTGATGTGCAGTGGCGGAAGAAGAATGTTCTGCGGATTCACCAGAGCATGGGCAACAACATTGTGAGAACCCTGAGTAAGTCCACTTCTTGCAGGCCAGTCACGTTGCATGTAGTGCTGCTTGTCTGCTCGACTATCCCACAGACAGAGGAAACATGCCATGTACCACCAGATGAAAAAGAAATTTAATTGTGAAAAAATATATGTAAAAAAACACGGACATGTACTCTTTTCCTTTGCGTCACGGCGGACATTTAAATGGCCGGCGAGCACGTGGGTGTATTTAAATGCATCGTAAGGGCATTAAAACTGACCGAAATCTTTTCTGTGAGGCTTGCTAATGTCTCGGATGATTTTTTTAATGAACGAATATGAGAACCCCCATTTTGAGCGAAAAATGCCAATATTTTACCTGAATCTCTGCTTAAAATGCTATAGCACAAAATTCTGACCTGATTGAGCAAAATGGATAACATTTTTGAGATCAGCATGCAAAATACACCCAGAAAAGCTTAATAATACACAAACCTCAAAAACTATGCAGGGCAGTGTAATTGTACTGTAAAAACGTAAAAATACTCTGTGTTCAAGAGACCCACAAGCAAGATGTTTCCTCCACTAAACAGAGATACAAACTGAGGCCTTGGTGGGTGAGTGAAGTGGCTGATGGGTGCACCAAAAACTAGTTCCCTGTACTGCAATTATGTTAAATAAGTGTTGAAATGACTAAACAATTTGATATAAAACTTGGAAAATTATTGAATAGTACAGCCTTCTTGATATTTACTCCAATTTTAACGAATGTAAGCCCTAGAACCAATTTCTGTATTGGCGGACTAATCTTCCAGCTGGTGAGCAAGCCAATGCATGTCGAAACATTTTCGTAAGAATTTCGTTAACCGAATTTTTGTTCGTTAACCGAAATGAAGATTCTTATGGAAGGTAATTCGTTAACCGAGGCGTTCGTTAACCGAGGGACCACTGTATTGGCGATACTGTATTACTGTCCCCATTATAACTAGGATTAATTGGGGTTCTACATCATCATTAATACTTTATGGTCATTTTCTATATTTGTTTGGATTAATCACAATGAATTGAGGGCAGCTTTCCATTTTGCATGGTCTCTTGTAGTCTCTCTTGTCGTGTTCTTAACTCTAATGTCATTTCTTACAACCACTCCCCATGTCATTCTTGGCTCTCCTCCCCTCTACATTTAGGTTCATGCACCTCTTGATTCAGCTGGTCTCATTCAATCTTACCACATGCCCATACCATTATCAATCTATTCAATATACTCAACACCCAGCCACCTTCTTAGCTCTGAACAGAGCGTCCTATCTTCCAGTATCACATTCCACATCCACCTCACCATTCTCATTTCATCTTGCTCAAACCTGTCCATGTTTCACTGCAATATAACATCACACTTCTCACACCTGTTGCAAACATCTTTCCTTTTATGCATAAAAAAACTTTTAGGAGGCACAGCTATGAGAAGAACACAACATTGTTTGAGCACAACTATATTGAAAAAATATAAGAAAAAAGATTGACTGAATTTTGAATACTGTACTGAATTAGTGTGGGTTCAGTGTACTGTATACAGTTTCCATTAACACACCAGCACCTAAATTTTATATAGCTGGGTAGATTTTGAGGATAAAATTCTTTGGAGTGTAATGTACTGTGCTGTAGTTGTTTATCATAAAAATTTTCTCATTAAGGTTTCTACATTTCAGTTCTTAGTTCTTAAATCAATATATTTGTTTCAGCTACTGTGATACAATGTACAGTACATTAAAAAATAAAAATAAATCTAAACGTTGTCCACGACTTCCTACAAATTAATAAGTACACAACAAAGTTGAAGAAAGTTACTAACCTGCCAAATGTCACTGATATCCTTCCCCACAAGCTGAGATACAACAAAGTCCCTCACAAATGTCTGGCAGCGGGTGAGGCCGACTGAAGCATTTAATGCTCCCACCACGGCTTGAAAGCTCTTTGCTGCTGTTGTGGCAGAGGGAGGATAATCCTGCAAACACAAGAATTTTTTAACAAAAGGTAGTGAAACCAATGTTATACTAACCTACCAATAACAACACATCAACAAAGATAAATATTTTTGTATTATTTAAATATTCTATTTATTTTAACTATTCTGTACAATTGATCTTACTTTCAAGGTTACAAAATGGTTAGAGATCTTGAGATAATTGGTTTTACATGTTAATTACTGTCACAGACACTTAGTAAAGAAATTTGCAGGAATATGAGATGAAAAGTCTCTTATTACCCGTCTCAGTACCCACAAGTCTCTTATTAGCCGTCTCAGTACCTACAACAAGTCTCTTATTAGCCGTCTCAGTACCTACAACAAGTCTCTTATTAGCCATCTCAGTGCCTACAACAAGTCTCTTATTAGCCGTCTCAGTACCTACAACAAGTCTCTTATTAGCCGTCTCAGTACCTACAACAAGTCTCTTATTAGCCGTCTCGGTACCTTCAATAAGTCTCTTATTAGCCGTCTCAGTACACCCACAAGTCTCATATAAGCTGTCTCAGTACCTACAACAAGTCTCTTATTAGCCGTCTCAATACATCCACAAGTCTCATATAAGCTGTCTCAGTACCTACCACAAGTCTCTTATTAGCCGTCTCAGTACCTACAACAAGTCTCTTATTAGCCGTCTCAGTACCTACCACAAGTCTCTTATTAGCCATCTCAGAACCTACAACAAGCCTCTTATTAGCCGTCTCAGTACCTACAACAAGTCTCTTATTAGCCATCTCAGTACCTACAACAAGTCTCTTATTAGCCGTCTCAGTACCTACAACAAGTCTCTTATTAGCCACCTCAGTACCTACAACAAGTCTCTTATTAGCCGTCTCAGTACCTACAAAAAGTCTCTTATTAGCCGTCTCAGTACACCCACAAGTCTCATATAAGCTGTATCAGTACCTACCACAAGTCTCTTATTAGCCGTCTCAGTACCTACAACAAGTCTCTTATTAGCCGTCTCTACCTAGTACCATAGTACCTACAACAAGTCTCTTATTAGCCGTCTCAGTACCTACAACAAGTCTCTTTAGCCATAGTACCTACAACAAGTCTCTTATTAGCCGAGTACCTACAAGAAGTCTCTTACTAGCTCTCAGTACCTACAAGAAGTCTCTTATTAGTCATCTCAGTACCTACAACAAGTCTCTTATTAGCCATCTCAGTACCTACAAGTCTCTTATTAGCCATCTCAGTACCTACAACAAGTCTCTTCTTAGCCGTCTCAGTACCTACAAGAAGTCTCTTATTAGCCTAGTACCTACCACAAAGTCTCTTATTAGCCGTCTCAGTACCAACAACAAGTCTCTTATTAGCCGCCAGTACCCACAAGTCTCTTATTAGCCGTCTCAGTACCTACAACAAGTCTCTTATTAGCCATCTCAGTACCCACAAGTCTCTTATTAGTCGTTCAGTACCCTACCACAAGTCTCTTATTAGCTGTCTCAGTACCTACCACAAGTCTCTTTTTACCCGTCTCAGTACCTACCACAAGTCTCTTATTAGCCGTTTCAGTACCTACAATTCTCTTATTAGCCGTCTCAGTACCTACCACAAGTCTCTTATTACCCGTCTCAGTACCTACCACAAGTCTCTTATTAGCCGTCTCAGTACCTACCACAAGTCTCTTATTAGCTGTCTCAGTACCTACCACAAGTCTCTTTTTACCCGTCTCAGTACCTACCACAAGTCTCTTATTAGCCGTTTCAGTACCTACAATTCTCTTATTAGCCGTCTCAGTACCTACCACAAGTCTCTTATTACCCGTCTCAGTACCTACCACAAGTCTCTTATTAGCCGTCTCAGTACCTACCACAAGTCTCTTATTAGCTGTCTCAGTACCTACAATTCTCTTATTAGCCATCTTAGTACCTACAAAGAGTCTTATCATTATTTTATGCTCAGTCTTGGTTTTTTTTTTCTTCAATAGAAATACTGTATAGTAATTAATTAACCTAATGAATTAATAAAACAATGTTAAAATCGATAAAACATTAGAAAGAGAAAAGAAACTTTGAAAAAAGCTGCTGTTCTTTCATGTTTCCTTAGCAGTGCAGTTTAGTACAATAGTTTAGGCCACTACAGTACAGCTGCTTCTCTACTTACAAGCATTCGACTTAGGAACTTTCAGAGATACAAACATGATCGTTGAGGGGGGGGCTTGCCTGCCAGAGTTGGTGCTTAAAGTGGATGAGACTGATTATTTGGGGAAGAAATGGTAGGTGATACAGAGGCATGGTAGGTGACACAGAGGTATAGTAGGTGACACAGAGGTATAGTAGGTGATACAGAGGTATAGTAGGTGATACAGAGGCATGGTAGGTGACACAGAGGCATGGTAGGTGACACAGAAGCATGGTAGGTGACACAGAGGTATAGTAGGTGACACAGAGGTATCGTAGGTGACACAGAGGTATGGTAGGTGATACAGAGGTATAGTAGGTGACACAGAGCCATGGTATGAGACACAGAGATATAGTAGGTGACACAGAGGCATGGTAGGTGACACAGAGGTGTAATTGGTGATACAGAGGCATGGTAGGTGATACGGAGGCATGGTAGGTGATACAGAGGCATGGTATGTGACACAGAGGTATAGTAGGTGATACAGAGGCATGGTAGGTGACACAGAGGCATGGTAGGTGACACAGAGGCATGGTAGGTGATACAGAGGCATGGTAGGTGACACAGAGATATAGTAGGTGATACAGAGGCATGGTAGGTGACACAGAGGTATAGTAGGTGATTGGTTGACGCATGGTAGGTGACACAGAGGGCACGGTAGGTGACACAGACGCATGGTAGGTACACAGAGGTATGGTAAGTGACACAGAGGTATGGTAGAGACAAAAGAGGTATGGTAAGTGACACAGGAGGCATGGTAAAGGACACAGGTATGGGTGACACAGAGGTATGGTAATGACACAGAGGTATGGTGGGGTGACAGAGGTATGGTAAGTGACACAGAGGTATGGTGGGGTGACACAGGTATGGAAGTGACACGGAGGCATGGTAAGTGACACAGGGTATGGGTAAGTGACACAGAGGTATGGTTGGTGACACGGTATGGTAAGTGACACGGAGGCAGCATGGTAAGGACACGGAGGCATGGTAAGGACAGAGGTATGGTAAGTGACACAGGGATATGGTAAGTGACACAGGTGTATGGGAAGTGACACGAGGCATGGGTAAGTGACACAGGGTATGGTAAGTGACACAGAGGTATACAGACACAGGGGTATGGTAAGGACACGAGGCATGGTAAGTGACACGGAGGCATGGTAAGTGACAGAGGTGTGGTAAGTGACACAGGGTATGGTGGGTGACACAGAAGTATGGTAAGTGACACAGAAGTATGGTAAGTGACACAGGGGTATGATAAGTGACACAGAGGTATGGTAAGTGACAGAGGTATGGTGACACAAAGGCATGGCAAGTGACACGGAGGCATGGTAAGTGACACAGAGGTATGGTAAGTGACACAGGGGTATGGTAAGTGACACAGAGGCACGGTAAGTGACACATATGTATGGTAAGTGACACAGAGGCATGGTAAGTGACACAGATGTATGGTAATTGACACAGAGGCATGGTGACACGGAGGCATCGTAAGTGACACAGAGGCATGGTAAGTTACACAGATGTATGGTAATTGACACAGAGGCATGGTGACACGGAGGCATGGTAAGTGACACAGAGGCATGGTAAGTTACACAGATGTATGGTAATTGACACAGAGGCATGGTGACACGGAGGCATCGTAAGTGACACAGAGGCATGGTAAGTGACACAGATGTATGGTAATTGACACCGAGGCATGGTGACATGGAGGCATGGTAAGTGACACAGAGGCATGGTAAGTTACACAGTATATCCAGTGAAATATGGCAAGGAGGGAGGAGAGTTATAAGAACAGTTGATGCTTTAACTAGTGCTCACTCACTCGAACCCGTTGCCAGGCGTATGATCCAAATACAGTACGTATTGGAGAAATGCATGTCCTGTATGTAGTCTAATTTGAAAGCGGTGACGGGCTCACTGATAAACAAGTTACATAAACCATTCATTTACCTATGATAACATAATAAGAAACATTGTATCATTACTAGAGTGAATGAAATAATATTCCCACAAACAACAATTGACGACTGTGTTTACGTTTCCCGCCTCCTCGGGCACCTGTGTCCCACGCGCTGACATCTTAGTTACAAGGGCCGAAGATGATCTTTGCTCTGTTTTGAGAATACTTCTTAGGGAGGCTTCTTAGCCCCGGCAATCCCCAAATTTTGTCCGAATCTTCCAAAATTTGAATTTACTGGATGTGAATCTTTGAGGGTTCACTGTACTATTCCCAAGTCAATTTTTGGGTTGCAGCTAAGTATCCACTGTTATGGATGTAAAGTAGTGCAACATAGTGCACGAGAGACCCACAGAGTAGGAATAATGAGGCTGGGCACGGCATACAATAAGGTGCCATTTTGCACTCAGTCTGTTAGATCGCTACAGTGCACATCCCCTATGCATCACCTCCTAATTTTCTTTCATAAATTGCCCAAAATTGTGTTGTAAAATGAATGGAAAATGCCCACATGATAGTAAGAGGACAGGACCTGATTGTAAACATACCACTCCCCACCACATCAAGCAACACACTCTATCATCACCAACACAAACAACCCCCCCCCTACCTCCACCACTCCCCCCCAGCACCACCACAAACATTTCCCTCTACCACCACCACAAACCCCCCCCCCAGCACCACCACAAACACTTCCCCCTACCACCACCACAAACACCCACCACCACCACCACTACCACAAACACCCACCACCACAAACACCTACCACCACCACTCCCAAGCAACAGCCCACCACAACCACTCCTCTCCCTACCATCATACACTAACTCTCAGAGACGTTAGAATGGTTTTTATTATCTTCATGTTTTTGACCTTATAATAATACCTTTTTCTCTAA